TGCGCTGGTAATGTGCCAATATATATTACTGACGACGGAAGATTAAGATCATTTCTTGAACATATAACTCTTGATTCGGAGGAAGAAGAGTCATTAGACACCATTAATGAAACAGCATTAGAATGTCCAAAAGTGTACGGATTAGACAAAAGTACAAAAAAGCTGAAAGAGTCAACTCGGATAATTGTAAAGAGAATAGAGCCATGGGTACCAGGTAGTAGCATAATAGGTATATGGTTAGATGTAGACAAGAGAAAACAATTTATTATCGGACAGACGTGTGTACAATTATGGAAATATACCAAGAACGGTAAACCTCGATTACTGTACATGTACGTAAAACCCGAAAAGAATGTTGAGAAATCTACTTCAAATGGCACGGAAGAAGAGAAGTTTGCTTTGGATGACACGAAAGAAAGGATATCTGTTCTGGATGACACGAAAGAAAGGATATCTGTTCTAGATGACACGAAAGAAGAGACGACTAATTTAGACAAAAAGGGAGATGAGAATCTTACTTCAGGCTACAGCACTGACGAGCCCAGAATCACTATCGATGGTGAGAAATTCCGTTTCAGAACAACAGCTGACGAGAATTCTGAACATAACTTGGAGATCCGATGGCCGCTCGATCCTTGTAAAGTGGTTATCGATGCATGTCGAGCACTCCATTGGCTAGAGGAAAAGAAAAAACGATACGTAGATGACGGTTCCAAGCGAAATAAACGCACCTACATTATATTTTATGAGCTGAAACATCAGCTCACCGACGTTGTTCGAAGATTCATTCAAAAACATCCTAACGAATGGCGCCTACTCGAAGTGCGATATGAGTTGATGCAATGGTTACTTAGTGGAGGATGTTCTCGTCTGATAAAAGATATTGTCGCAGTAAGTGATGTTCCGGAAGGTGAGGATAGTATTAGTGAAGGACGTAAATATATACGAAACCGGCAAATACCACTCCACTTTCCGCGAGTGCACACATGGGAGGCCGATGAATATGGAAACGCAGGGAAGAAAAGCGACTTGATAATAACTATCGAAAAGAAGGATAAGTTGACCGACAACTTCCTCACCTATTACGCTCACTTTTCCAACGAACATTTTGGTTGGATATGCACAGTAAGAAAAGCCTTACCTCTTCTATTTGGAAAAGATCGTAAGTAATGAATTATATGTAGACATTTTAAATCGGTTGGGTTTATTAATGTGGATGGTTCTTATTAATCTGAAATTTGTCTCGTTGCAATAGATTTAGATATTCCTAAAAACAGATTTTTTGCTCATCCAACATTCATGGGAAGACCTACATCACAGCATGAGATCCCCTTAAGGGTGTACTCAAATATCTTTCGTTCACTACCGAAGTTAACAGACAACTTGAAATCGCTAAGAGTGGACAAAGTAGTCGATAATATGAGACATATCCATTTAAAGACGGATTTGAAAATGATACGTCATACGATAAGTTCTCGAAATCTTTTTTACTTTATTGTCATTCCTTCATACGTGTGGGAATTCGCTTTAAACATTTGGCATATTGTATACAGGACGAGGTGAGCATTTTATATCTGTGTTGATTTGTATATTTTATTTTTGTACACGCATTGTTGTGTTGACAAATTTACGCGGATTTCTAGAGATCCCGAGAAGCGCCCTGAGAATTATGTAAAAGTTTTGCGTCGTGTCCCAATGCCATGCGATGAGGATGTGGCCAAGTTGCTTCAGCAGTCTATCAATGACGAGTATAGCGAAATTTTCTTTGATAACCCAGCTATTGCCGGACTTATTAATTCGACATGGGTAGTGGCCTATTTTTATTATCAATCGTATGTGATACTGAATGTATATTTTCTACTGTCATTCGGCATATATATCTTCCTTTTTAAAGACACGGATAATCAAAGGGCTATAGCATATATAACGGGCGCATTGGGAATGTGTCTTGTAGTGCTTGAATTGATTAAAATACCATGGCTTATTTCAATGTATAACAGAATCAAAATGTCATACAACCTGGTTTTATATATATTCCCCATTGTGTTAACTATTATTTTAGAGACTCAAAAAGAATACATTGGGAGTATAGTATTACACGTCCTCGCTGCTACTGCTACATTTATGTTATGGCTCAAATTCCTGATGCTTTTGAAACCATATGAAGGTAAGGAAGGCGTATATTCTTATATAGATATTCATGTGGGATTACACTAACGAAAGCCTCTAATTCATGATTCAGGTGTTGGCACTTATGTATACATCGTCATTAGCATATTCGAGCATATTTCCTTGTTCTTTGTATCATTCTTTATTCTTGTGATTGCAGTTGGACACACCATGTAAGTTCTTACAGCCGCATCTTCATTCATTCGAGACCCAGTTAAAGACTAATTTGTACTTCATATCAAATAGGTATGTGTTTTTACATGATCCATCGGATATTAAATTAACACCAAATGCTCTTGAATTCGGTGTCAATCTGACAACTCCCGATGGCGTCGTCGGGACAAATTACACCGTGTACCAGAAATTAGATGAAGAAGATGTCTCGGACAATGGCTTTGCAAGCTTCTGGAACTCGGTAATTTCAGCTTATGGCTGGACTAATGGAAGATGGGACGGTCTGGATTGGAACTACTATCCGCTTAAACTATTCGTCATTGCCTCGAGTTTACTTCTAGTTATTGTTATGTTGAACATCCTTATTGCTATCATCGGAGATGTATATGTCGCTGCCAAGATAACTGGTAGACGAGAAATCGTAAGGTCGCGCGCAATATTTTTGTTGTAAGTATGACCCACAAATTGTCTCCCGACTTTCTGCATTAATTCCAATGTTGACCGAGATACTCTATTGCAGATATTATTGCAGATGGATTCTCAACGCTATAAGAGAAAGCAATTCACAATATATATATGTCTTTGGTAACCATCTTCAATTCGAAAATTGGGGTGAAGAGAAAAAAAGTTTTCGAGATCTTACTGATCCACTGGTGGGAAGGTCGGCAAAAAGCGATAATAAGATCAATTTGTCGACATTAATTCGTAAACTCGGGAAGGAAATCAAATTGTTTACGTACAGGAGAGCATCATGACCATCGACTTCCCAAAAGAATTAAAAAATGTTAAGTTAACGAATTCAATACTGACAATTAACTATAGTATGGGTTACTAGCTTTTGTTGTGACTTTCCTGTTAGCCAATGGAATTAATCATTCACCACCCCAGTCAGTTAAATGGTAGGGTACACCTTTAGCGTTCAATCGTTGGTGGAGATAATAAAAGAACGCAAAACCTCAGTTAAATGGTAGTACGTAGGCACTCTCGATAAGTCGGACTCGTCGGGGTGAAGATTTTATCCGACTTATCGAATTTCAAATAACAAAAAACCTCTCCTTTTATTTAAATATAAGCAATAATAATAATGCATTCGCTTTCTTCCAATTTGATGTTTTAGGCCATTCATTCTCGAGATTACCGATCCACTTTTATATTATTTTGAATGCCATCCAAAACAACTGTATTGCTTTTGGTTTCTCCCTCTTCTCTTTCGTCGTCTTCTGGTATTTTCGAATATTTAACTGTATTGTATTTACTAAAGCGGTAAGATTATCCATTCGATTGAAATATTATTACAGCTTTATCGCGATTTTATATGTGTTCCGACTTATCGGATTTTTTTAAATATTCAAAAAAGGACGAGAAATTTTGTTAAGCCAAATCCGGCTTATCGTTATCGAGTGTCCGACTATTGAGGTTGACTATGTACACAGTCACAATTTCTTCGTAATAATAAATAATAAAAAAAAAGTTAGAAACAAATGTTCCAGAGGTCAATAATTTGATGGGTAGCATGTTGGTATTGGCGAGATAGTTTCTAAGAGGATGGTTAAAGCGGAGTAGAACGTGACCTGATTCTTGCAATTACATTGGTCAAATTTGTATATCAACCAATGAAATTGTAAAAAAACTACTCCGCTTTAGCCTACCCCGTTTCGAAGCATATGGCCCGACTTGCCCAAATTACCACGTATGCTAAAGAATTATGATAAATTGGACGAGTTTTATAGTAAGGAATGGTGTTTAATTCCAAATTTATGTTAATTAGATTTAGTAGGTTAATAAAAAGTAATAGTAGAGGTAAAGCTCGTAATAAAAAATAGTGAGAATAAATTTCATATTAAATTTTTCTCCTTGTCATAAGCTATCAAACAAGAGATTATTGATAACAATTGATGCAGTTGTTAGCAGCAATAGTCTCTCTTTTTTTATTAACAATAAATTCGTTAAACTAACCACGAACTGTTGTTACAAATCGAATCGCTAGAATGTATTAGAATCAACAACCGAAGCACTACAATCATACGATTAAACATTGAAACATGTAACTAGATTATACGATTAGAGCAGTATCATGTACGATAGAGCATTAAATCATACGATTAAAGCAGCAGACATGTCATTAGATCACACGATTAAAGCAGTAAATAGTTCTGTATTGTCAGGGATGTGGAAATTTCGGCAACATCAAATTCTCTGAGACAAGCTAGCTACGGGAATATTTTACGATGTAAATCACAATAATAATACAAGCCGGCTTATAGAAATTTCAAGGTTTTGGTTTTCCCTCTGAGCGATTAATAGAAGGCCAAATTAATTAGATCTCGCTCAACATGCTCATGATCTTCGAGTATGACGGCAAGTGAGAATTCTAGAAACAGTAACTGAAGCGAAATTACCGCCACATTGTAATGGCCAATAAGTTCCGTGCTTTTCCCACGAAAAACAGCTCAGGTGAACCGAAAGCGGATTGGTCGGGCAATTTTCTCACATAATATTAAGAAGTTAAGGGCATATTTAGAGTGCTTGCTTCATAGTTCTTTAAGTTTTTTTGGCTGGCACCGATTTAGAATAATACACAGCGTGCACTCTAGCGGCCGCCACTAGGCGCATAGCGGTAAATTCTCAAGGATTTGCTATTGATTATGCGTGAACGGTCTAACCTTTGCATCAGATGACCATAAGGTCTATCAACACAAACGGATTATGAGCAACGCTTCTTAGAAAGCTTTCCCCGTGAAAAACGGGAAGCGCTGCCTTTAATTCATTTGTTCTCATCAAGTTATTACTATTACTGATTCGTTCGTGCATAATTTATTACATTGTTAATCTCTAAAGTCTTAGTAATCACGATCTACTTGACAAGCGCTAAATAAAGAAGTTGCGTGAAAGCATGTGGACAATCTTTGGATATACATCGTCGCGTACAGTACGTTTGAAACGAATAATTTCTGGCTAGCAATATAATTAGAACACTGAAAAAATCAAAAGGTTGTTTCATTTATAATGCTTATCCGAATGAAATCAAAAGAAGTTTCAACAAATCTAACTACTGTAGTACTAAAAGCATTATAAATTATGTAGAAACATAAAACTTTACTAATCAATTTTGTCTATTTCTTCGTTTCATCAGGACAAATCTCTTGTCAAGATTGATGAAGAGTCACATGACATTAGTTGTAATAACCACTTGAAATAGAATATGTAACCACACACATTATCACTTCATGCTTGCGCTGAAGAGCAAGCTCCGAAATGGACCAGATTTTTAACTCTTCAATTCAAGAAGACGGTGATAACAAAAAGAGATTTTATATTGCAATAAGCGACGACGGAAGGGAGATAGTCAAATTCGATACATGTGAGTATAAATAATTGGAGTGATTGACGAAAGCTAATTATGCTCGGCATCGCTTTTATCTCTTATATCCATCTCATCCATTATTAAATACCTCCTTATACTTCCAATGTTCTTTACTCAGACACTCGAATTCTAGAAACATGGCAAGTCTCTTATTCTCAGCGCATCGGGAAGCCTCAGTTCGAATCAACAGGCTTCAATTGTGTTGTCAAAAGCGATTATATATCTACTTCTGAGAGTCTAGCACTTGAGATGCCAACATGGAGTATTGCTATATCTAATGCAATAAATAGCGACGGATTCACTATTGTTGCACTATCTTTTTATGTTGCGAATAAAGAGACTGATAAGGAAGAGCGAGAAAAAGAAAATCCATATAAAGAGAATGAAGGTGAAGATAGTGAGAAGAATCTGCCAGATCGTTCTTCTACTCGTGTGTTTATTATGGGAGGTTCAAGGAATACAGATGAGGAAAAGGCGAGTTCCACAAAGAACGCACGAAGAATAGGAACATCAGTGGACTATATAGCTGGAATAGTCAATTTTACTCTGCTTCCCAACTCTAATTGGCTGCTTACCGTGTTGAACAAAGAACGAATATTTCAGCACAAAATTGATCCAAATAAGGCAGACGATTTTTCGAAATTCTCTCGGACTAGCATCCCTCGCACATATGGACGTAGCAGAAAGTCAATCAAAAAATCCGGGGGGCAATTACAAACTGACGAGGAACAGTTTCAATTGCTCACAAGGAATATAAAGTCGCATTTATATTTTGAGACTGGGGTAAAAGATGCGGTTCACGCATATGATCTAAAGGACGGAAAACACATCTTAGAATTCTCTAATCACAACAACCCGAATCTGGTTGGCTTCGAAACACCGATATACGCAATATCAAAGAATCGTGTCTTATTAGCTGCCTGTCTTGATAATACATCTGTCGGCATATATCTGCTGGAGAATAGTTTGGAATGTGGAAAAAAGAATCTGATGGAAACTCATAGAGTAACGCTGATAGAATTCATTAATGATGACGAACAGCTATTAATTTTGAAAGAAGATAGAAAGACACGTGCTGTGGAGGTTACTATATGGGAATTGTTTACATGCAGACCTGTCAGGAATGTAAAAATTAACGAGCTAAATAAGTTCTTCCAAAAACCCTCCAATATTCTTTATTCTACCGGCTGCGCTGGTAATGTGCCAATATATATTACTGACGACGGAAGATTAAGATCATTTCTTGAACATATAACTCTTGATTCAGAGGAAGAGTCATTAGACGCCATTAATGAAACAGCATTAGAATGTCGAAAAGTGTACGGATTACACAAAAGTACAAACAGGCTGGAAGAGTCAACTCGGGTGATTGTAAATAGAATAGAGCCATGGATACCCGGTAGTGGCATAATAGGTGTGTGGTTAGATGTAGACAAGAGAAAACAATTTATTATTGGACAGACGTGTGTACAATTATGGAAATATACCAAGAACGGTAAACCTCGATTACTGTACATGTACATAAAACCCGAAAATATTGAGAAATCTACGGAAGAAGAGAAACTTACTTCAGGCTACAGCACTGACAAGCCCAGAATCACTATCGATGGTGAGAAATTCCATTTCTCAACGGCAGATGACGAGAATTCTGAACATAACTTGGAGATCCGGTGGCCGCTCGATCCTTGTAAAGTGGTTATCGATGCATGTCGGGCACTCCATTGGCTAGAGGAAAAGAAAAAACGATATGTAGATGACGGGTCCAAGCAAAATAGACGCACCTACATTATATTTTATGAGCTGAAACATAAGCTCACCGATGTTGTTCGAAGATTCATTCAAAAACATCCTAATGAATGGCGCCTACTCGAAGTGCGATATGAGTTGATGCAATGGTTACTTAGTGGAGGATGTTCTCGTCTGATAAAAGATATTATCGCAGTAAGTGATGTTCCGGAAGGTGAGGATAGCGTTAGTGAAGGAAGTAAATATATACGAAACCGGCAAATACCACTCCACTTTCCGCGAGTGCACACATGGGAGGCTAATGAATACGGAAACCCAGGGAAAAAAGATAGCGACTTGATCATAGCTATCAAAAAGAAGTATAAGTTGACTGACAACTTCCTCACCTATTACGCTCACTTTTCCAACGAACATTTTGGTTGGATATGCACAGTAGGAAAAGCCTTACCTCTCCTATTTGGGAAAGATCGTAAGTATATAGACATTTTAAATCGGTTAGTTTATTTGTATGATTGCATTATTACGAATTTTAGTGCGGATGGTTCTTATTAATCTCGTTGCAATAGATTTAGATATCCCTAAAAACAGATTTTTTGCTCATCCAACATTCGCGGGAAGACCTACATCACAGCATGAAATTCCCTTAAGGACGTACTCAAATATCTTTCGTTCATTACCAAAGTTAACAGACAACTTGAAATTGCTAAGAGTGGGCAAAGTAGTCGATAATATGAGATATAGCCGTTTGAAGACGGGTTCGAAAATTATGCGTTATATAAGTTCTCGAATTCTTTTTTCCTTTTTTGCCATTCTTTCATTTCCTCTATACATGAGTAAGTTCGCTTTTCTACCTATTTGGAATGCTGTATACAAAACGAGGTGAGCATTTTATATCCGTGTTGATTTGTATAATTTGTTTTTGTATACGCATTTTTGTGTTGACAAATTGACGCGGATTTCTAGGGATCCCGAGAAGCGCCCTGAGAATTACGTAAAAGTTTTGCGTCGTATCCCAATGCCATGCGATGAGGATGTGGCCAAGTTGCTTCAGCAGTCTATTAATGACGAGTATAGCGAAATTTTCTTTGATAACCCAGCTATTGTCGGACTTATTAATTCGGCATGGGAAATAGCCTCTTATAATTATCAATCATATGTGATATTGAATGTATATTTTCTGCTGTCATTCGGCATATATATCTTCCTTTTTGATGACACGAATAAGCAATGGGCAATAGCATATATAACGAACACATTGGGAATGTATCTTGTAATGCTTGAATTGATTCAAATACCATGGCTTTTTTCAATACCACGGCTTCTTTCAATATATAACATAATCGAAACGACATGCAACCTGATTATATATATATTCCCCATTGTGTTAACTATTATTTTGGAGACTCAAAAAGATTACATTGGGAGTATAATATTACACATCCTCACTGCTGCTGCTACATTTATGTTATGGCTCAAATTCCTGATGCTTTTGAAACCTTATGAAGGTAAGGAAGGCATGTATTGTTATATAGATATTCATGTATGGTTCCACTAATGAAAGCTCTAATTCATGACTCAGGTACTGGCACTTATGTATACATCGTCATTAGCATATTCGAGCATATTTCGGCGTTCTTTGTATCATTTTTTATTCTTGTGTTTGCAGTTGGACACACCATGTAAGTTCTTACAGCCGCATCTTCATTCATTCGAGACCCAGTTAAAGACTAATTTGTACTTCATATCAAATAGGTATGTGTTTTTACATGATCCATCGGATATTAAATTAACACCAAATGCTCTTGAATTCGGTGTCAATCTGACAACTCCCGATGGCGTCGTCGGGACAAATTACACCGTGTACCAGAAATTAGATGAAGAAGATGTCTCGGACAATGGCTTTGCAAGCTTCTGGAACTCGGTAATTTCAGCTTATGGCTGGACTAATGGAAGATGGGACGGTCTGGATTGGGACTACTATCCGCTTAAAATATTCGTCATTGCCTCGAGTTTACTTCTAGTTATTGTTATGTTGAACATCCTTATTGCTATCATTGGAGATGTATATGTCGCCGCTAAGATAACTGGTAGACGAGAAATCGTAAGGTCGCGCGCAATATTTTTGGTGTAAGTATGATCCACAAATTGTCTCCCGACTTTCTGCATTAATTCCAATTTTGACCGAAGTACTCTATTCCAGATATTATTGCAGAAGGATTCTCAACGTTATAAGAGAAAGCAATTCACAATATATATATGTCTTTGGTGGCCATCTTCAATTCGAAAATTGGGGTGAAGAAAAAAAAAGTTTTCGAGATCTTACTGATCCACTGGTAGGGAGGTCGGCGGCGACAAGCTATAACGAAATGACACCATTCGAGAAGACAATCATGTTGCTTGTGTACAGGATAGCATCAATTTTCCAGAAGAATTAAAATATTAATATACACTGACAATTAACTATGGTATGGGTTACTAGTTTTTGTTGTGACTTTCCTGGAATTAATCGATCACCACCCCAAGTTAGATCTCGCTCCAATATGCTCATGATCTTCGAGTATGAAATACAGTATCTGTGTGACCTTGCGAAATTGCCGCCACACTGTAATCGGGCAAACGAAGTTTCCGTGACCTTTACTTTAGAATCAAGATCTGATTTTACGATATTCTGACAAGTCGTCGTGAACCGAATGTTTGGTATGTGTTGTGTAGTCACTGTATTAATACATGCTTTTTGCTCGCCAACAATTTTATTACGTTACAAATGATATTGTACAACCAACCAGAAACAACGTTTGACATAAATAGTACTAGATTACTATCATTACAATATTCATTATTGTTTATTCGATAAGCTCATCAGGGAGTGTATCTGGTACTCGATTCCCTTGTAGTCGTCCATCAATCAAGAACATACCTACGCAAAACTCATGTTGACTGAGTCTACCATCTTCATCGCTATCGCAGAGACTCCTAAAAAACGGCAATGGAGATATATTAGATAAAATAAACGTATTCTTCGATAACTCATTTGGAATTGTTGACATTACCATATTTTGGACAAAGTCTTTTTATCGAGCCTACTTCGCATGTATATTTCTTTAACCACGTCGCCTATATCGAGTAATGTTTCATTAGCTGAATACACCGGAATTCAAGATAATAAAATAAATTTTTTTTATACAAAGAGGTAAATAGATCCATAAACTTACTATCAATATATCCATCTTCGTCCATGTTCGCTGCAAACACAATCTCATACCGTTCTCGAGCATTACGCGGAATACCTTTAGATAAATTACTCTCTGGATTAATAGTAAAAAATGGTTACAATCAAAATGAAACAAAACCAAATTGTCCCAAATCTTCACCAGATCCACGGACATACCATTGAAAGGATTATGTTGCGGAGGCCTCGGCGGAATTTTGGACGTGCTTTCTCCCTCCGCTCTTGTAGTATTTTTTCTATCCGGCAACGGTGGTGGAGTATTATCTTGGTCTCTAGTTGGAACGCTCCTGGCGCTCACCTTATCCATTATAGATGTTCTATTGAATGTATTTTTACGTGATGGGATTTCAGGTCGAGAAGTTTTTGGCTGCGTGGATTTTACAGACGATAGAGTGTCGTCGAAGGCATCACTAGCTAGAGATCTGGACCGTACTTGTGCCTGGTCTTTGGCTACAGTTTCCGCTTTATCGAGAACTTTGCCCTGATAAGGGCGTGTGTATTTGGAATACTTGGAGTTTGACAGCTGTCCTGGTGGGTTCGTAATCCCAAGGAAATGTAGATGATATATCGAGGGTGGGTAATGTGAGGAAATTGTACATTAGTATTAAATTTAGTATAAACATTCAATGTTTTGTCATGCGTAAACTTCCTGCAAAAGTGAACCTAAATCTGATGCATTTAAACACAGGTTCACTTTGGTACATGTACAAGCATTGGAATATATGTTACTAACAGCTAGCAATCTAATTTGGAACAGTTCCTAATCGAACCATTTCAGTATCTCCCCCCACATAGCCCGCAACATCCTCCATCAGCAACCACACCAAAAAATTTATCTTACCTCTTCCTTCGCCGAAAGCCTTCCCCACTTGGCGCGAAGCGGCATTACCAACTTCATCCTGTACATTCTTTTTAGCCGCACCTTCGACGTTCTCAAGTTTCCCAGCAACCTCGCTCCGAGCCTGGCTCCCAACCTTCGGTCGCGGTGGCGTAGGCGGTGGCGCATCGGATAGCTTGCGCAGAGGCGTGTCGCGAACCTCTTTTACAGAAGGTTTGACGTTTCGTGGTGCAACCGGTGGTGGTGCAGAACGAAGCGATGGTTTTGGAAGCAAGGCTGGTGGAGCACGTGATACCAAAGTTGCAGAAGATTGCTCCTTTTGAAGTTTTTTGATTTCAGATGGACGTTTGAAAGGAGAATCTGGTTCATCGTCAGATAAATTATCGGCTGATCTAAAAGCTGATGGCTGCGGGTCTCTCGATTCCGTCGTCTTCATTATAGACGTCCTTGGTTTTGGTGCTACTGGTGGCGGCGAGGACTGTACCTTGCTTTCGAGTTGTCTACGTAGCGCGCTCACCGACACCGGCGTAGCAGATTCTTCTTCTTCTTCCACATCATGAGTATTTGTCTTGAATCCGTTACCGCTGATGTCTGGTTTTGGTTTTGTCAGAGGTGCCGTAGACTTGACAGACGATTTGTCGGTCGGTGTAGTGGTGGTGTTTGTCGTCTTTTCAAAGCCTGCTATTACGTTTGCCGAGAGTTTCCGTGGACCACCCAATGGTCTATCTGATGAGAAGCCCAGATGGTCAATGAAACGAATACCATATATAGATCTATGTAATCAATAAAAATCTCCATGTTGATCGTTACCTGCATTTACTGTAGGTTTCGGCATAATCGCAGGTGGACCGGTCGATTTGACTCCATTCGATCCTACTGATTTTGCCGTACCTCTTGGTAACACTTTTGGTGGCTTTGGCTAAATCCAACAGCGTCATATGGATGTTGTTTTAAACGCTTGATCATTTTTAGATTAATTCGAATAAACTCAATAGGTTATTTGAATATGGTGTATTATTAAGATGTATTAATCCTTACCTTATCCTCAAACAGTTCAACATAATTCTTTGGAACTAGACCTCTCTCTCTCGTTCTTTCTGAGACCGCCTCTAGCCACCCTTCGCTGTCGCTTTCAACGACTTTTTAATAACAATTAATAAAAAGTTCTGCAATACGTTAGGCAAAATATGTTGTATAAAAGAGACCAACCATCAACCAAAATGTCTCCTTCTTTGAAAGATAACTCTTCAACATCGTCAGCGACACAGTCATATAATGCTCTTGCTTTTGTAGGCATATTTCTGCTAATTATCTATAGAAACGTTACTCTCTGATTTTCTACTTGTCCCCGATGTAAAGATATAAATAAGCGTTTGGGCCATTACAAAGGTGTTTGTGGCAAATGTTAATTCATTTTAATGTTACACACGAATGCATCAAAGTGAATATAAATATGTTCATCACTAAGAAGTTTCGGTTTCTTTCGTGTATCAGATATTAATATGCATTAATTTGCTAGAATTACTATATTTACGTTGGAACGCAGACCGGAATGATAGCTCGCCTTGAGACTGAGATTAGTTGTGCTTAGATCAAGGGACATTTACGCGCGTTTCTTCTGCACTAGTACTTCAAAAACGGAATTTGAATAACAGCAACCTTAAATTCGTCGTGTTAACTTATATTCTACTTTGTTTAGTTTATAACTACCTAAGCGTTTACATCAATTGCTTTCAAGTGAATTGGGCGAGATTATCGCATAAGTAATGTCTCTTATACTAGTTATTTATGGCAAATTGCTAAAGGGAAACCGATTTTTATGTCCGTAGGATATTATGTAATTATTTAGCATCACACAAGGTTTCATCGGCGCTAAGATGATAGCTTTGCATATGTACTGAGAGCGCATGCGTTTTCTAACGATGAAATTGTTATATTGCTGAAACTAACGCATCATCTGATTATATTAGTTTGAGATCGAGTCTGCAGTTTACGTGACATATGAGCGGTTAAAACGAATAAGGAAAGACCTCTTAATTCTGACGATATTTAAAAAAAAATATAAACGAGTTGAAGGCTAAACTCAGGAAAAATACGAATTATCATGGATGGACCCTCTGGCTAGTCAGGTAATTTCTGACGAGTCGGAAATTGTAAAGAAGTTGCCAGGATACTTTTATGAAGCCAGTACGACAGATGGTACCTTTATCTCTTCCGCCCGCAGTGAAAATAAAATGCAATGAATTCGTTGCTACTTTCATTGAGAATCGTGAAGTTGATTTTCCAAGAAAACTTACACATGATGGAACATGGAAGGAAACAGAGAATGAGCGCGGAGAGAATTTTAGATACACTGTAGGTGTTTTTTAATTTTTTTTTGTAATATCTAGTGATTTCCTACTCACTGCTTATGTCTTTTCATTGATATTAGAAGCGATTCTTGGAATAATCCTGCATTTGGAACAAATCCCTGAATGAAGGTACTTACGTGACCAATGTGATAGTACTGGACTCGTAAAAGTTGTAAATCCTATAGGGACGAATTTGGGATTATTGGAGTACAGATGGCCGGAAAGAAATAATTTTGAGTGTCCTTATAAGGGATATGAGCGAAGTCCATCGATATTATCGTCTTCATGAATCAGAAATTCCGGTTCAACTATCAGATCCGTTCATTGTAGAAAAATTCGTAGAATCATTACTGATATTGCGAAATATTCTAATCGTTAATATGAGAGCATACTGCAGTTTTTTCACCTAGGGGAGATAACTAGAATTTTTTGTCATGTATTTTTATTATATATCTCAAGTCCTACAATTTGTAATTTAGTATGTTATTTAGCATAGTAATACAAAAAATTGCGGTTTATTATTTTTATCGCAGTATTAATAAAAAATTATTTTTCTTGGAAAAGTTGCTGCAGGATGTCATGTGTTAAATTTCTTGATCGGAGTTAATATTTCTAGCAGATGTGTCGCGATATTAGTACTCCGAATTTTTAGCTCGGCATGTGCTAAGAAACTGGCAAAAAGCCAGCTACATGCTGGAATAATATAAACTGGCTCGAACTACGCGATATTGATGCGTGCACTATTTTTTTCTTGTATAATTTTGAATTTTTGAATGCGCAAAATTCTTGAATTTTTCTATTATCTATAAGAAATGGCTGCTATACTAACACCAGCTTCTTCCATTGATATATGGCGATGTCTTACATTACGAAAACATCCATTATCGCTAGAACAGGTAAGTAGTATCCATTCCGAAGTGGAAGATTTGTTAAATAAGGCGTTGAAAATTATATTAAACAAAAAGAGCGTCAGAGGATAAAGTCTAATACTAGCGAATGTGAAAAATTATCAAGCCAAGAGGATGAGGAGTTGCGCATATTGAAGCAAAAAATGGAAAAAAAAATTGAAGACCTTAGTGATTTGCAAGTCCAATATACAGTAAATTACGCGAGCAAGCTATGGCCAAGTCTTTAGAGAAAAGTGGCGACAAAATTACTCAATTAAGCTCTTCGGTTACCTTTTTCAAAGATATAATTCATGATACGAGAAAAGCCATTGTATCAGCTGAAAAGTCCATTGACATGTTAGAGAATAAATACCGGCATCTGGAGGATATTATTTCTGCTAAAGATAGAAAAATTATCGCTCTTGTTGATCAGATCCTTTCCAATACAAAGCATAGTGATGTGACTATAGAACCTGAAATATATTCTAGCACTTATGAAAGAAAATTATGGGCGAAGAGGCGTAATGAATCTGAATATGACCTAGAAACCCGGAAAAAATATACATTTCGTCTCACTCAATAGCTTTGAGGGAAAATTTTATTCACTAAAAAAAGGCGTATCCCAGTCTCTTCGATCACACAAATAGCTATCAACATCTTTATAATACTGCGCCAGTCATTAGCATATAGGCGGGAATTCACCTGAAGTTGACCCGTTGAATAGAACAATATAATTTAATTCTTTCGTTATTAGCTCTGCGTTACATAAATTGGGTTTATATTTTTGTGACGTCCTTCAGTGAAATAAGGAACAATTTTCTCTTGAATATTCTTTGGCAGGTCTTCGAATCATTAGTTAGATAAAGTACTAGTATTAGGATGCCAACACCTGGGTTTAAGGAATATTGTGACCAGTTCACAGAGGATACAATCATGTTCAAGTTCCCTAATCTTGTCCAAAAGTCTTTTATTAAAGGACAATTTGATCCTTTTTTAGATGAAGGCCATGATATATTAATATTAATATTGCACAAGATATAATTAAACATTTGTAAGTGCTTTGTCTGTTTGTGACCAAACTCCCTGACTTCAGTGTGTCTCGAAGCCCAAGTAATATCAAGTGTCAAAAGCATAGAATTAATACCGAACTTAGTGCCGCAGAAATAAAATAAAATAAAAATAAAATAAAATAAAAATCCAATTCACGTGATTCTGGCTACGCCTCCGAAGCGCAGAAAATTTTCAAGCTCTCCGAAATAACGTCAAGTCGATTTTGATCAGCTGAGCGTAGCCAATCAATCCGAGGCTTCAAGCCCTGCCTAGTCGATTATCCGATTCATTTCTTGAAGAAAATAGGAGCCGTTTAAGCGAGTTTTTAATTCGAATAAGGAAGAGGGGGAATACTATGGATTATGCGTTTGAAACTGTGAAACGTGTGTTTATTATAGTGAAGGAGATCCAAAATTTAGGATGGTAATGTTAATTATGAGATAGGTAGGTAGTAAAGAATTTACTAGTAGTTTTGATAATATTATGGGGTAGTGAGAAGGAACTGCCATTTCTTTTACTATGTAAAAGGCGTCTGGGGGCGGGCAGGCATGAAGTTTCACAATAAAGTTTCGCGACGCAAAAGAACGCAGATTGCAGTTTTATAATTCTTTTATTGCATGCTTTTTAATTACAAATCTTTAAAGAACCTTAACACCAAATAATAAAGCTTTGCTAACGTCTTTTCTAATACTGAGTGATGAAGCGATGTTTGAATTATTTATTCTTACGCGACTTCTTTCTTGTTTTTTTTCCTTTTGGAACCGCAAGATTAGCCTTAGCTTCTGAAATCTTCTTCTTAAGCCCCTCCTCCATGTGATTTTTAAATTCTTCCTCCAATTGATGTTCATATTCATCCACAGGTACCCGCTCAAAAGTGTCCTCGATGATGTAACACATTCTATTCGGATGGATGAGATAATTCGTAATTCCTTCTTCCAAGTCGGATCCCATGTATATTATACTACACTCCATTTCATTCCACATAAACAAGCATTCATTTTCATCTAAGAACCTCATTACAAATTCAGAAAGGTCTAAATATAAAGGAAAAATTTTGGTGATTCCAAAGAGTTTAGCAAAGGTTTCTCTAAGATCCGTACTCAGACGCCACATATCCTTTTCCGTAAAGTCGCGAAGCTCGTCCTTCAATTGATCAAAAAGGTGACACGGCACATCCTGCAATTTTGGCAAGGATACTTTGTTTGTCCTTTTACTACTTTTATTGTGAGAGTCCAAACTGGTGTATTGGGCCTCACTTGACTTGGGTGCGTCCACGTATTCATCTCTGAACAATTCCCATGATTCCAACGCTCTTTCCTTGGCATCACTTCCTGATTTTGATTTCGAGGGAGAATATGTAGAGGGAAATTGAACAGATCGGTCATCTGTCGAGATCTGATCATTTGTTTTCTGGGTTGGGGTTTCCCCGCGATCGACTAAAAAACAAAGGAAAGGGAAATATAGGGATAGATATTGGAGATAACTTTTGAAATAGAACCTGCTTCCTTTTATTCATAACAGAAAAAAGCTAAGACTTACCTCCACTGCCGTCCATGTCTGTTTGAGACGAGGATGTATTAAAAGTGGGGAAAGTAGAGTCACTCATATTGCTCATATCTTTCGTCGTGAAAAGTATATTTGAAAGAGCGAAAGGCGGGCATTTACTGTATGGAGAATCATGTGATTCACTATTTTAGCGTACAATGAAACGAGTTCCGGAAAAATTAGTAATTTTTGGCACAATTCCAATAATTTTGCGTTTTGTGCGACGATTAGATTAATCCCAATAATTTTGTGTAGAGTCTACTACGCCACAAAGTTCGTGATTGCTTTTTTCGCAACGAATACGAGAAACGTTACTGAAAACCGATGGCGGCTCCTAGTATGAACGCAGTCTATGCGACCGACGAATATGGTCGCCCATTTATTATTGTCAGGGAACAACAGAAGAAAAGCCGTCTCAGCGGTTTTGATGCCGTAAAGGTACGTATTTCTTTGGGGTGATTGTTCTTAATTAATGCTATCTGCGATTAGTGTGCGAAATGCACCGCATGTTGGCATAATATTAATCATCCAATATTAGTCTCACATATTGGCTGCTAAAACAGTGGCTAATATTATCAAAACTTCCTTGGGACCAAGAGGTAAATTTTTTAACCTAACGTTCTTGTTACTATTACATCAAACATGATTATATATACATGATTGAGGATTGAGTATTGAGTAATCTCTGGACAATTGTCTAGACACTTTGGACGTTTTAGTTACCCGTCAATCTCGCTCGATCCATTTTATTTAACAATATTTATGTTCTACAACAGGACTTGATAAAATTCTTATATCGCCTGATGGAGACGTCACAGTGACCAACGACGGTGCAACAATTCTTAGTAATATGGAAGTTGAACATCAAATAGCGAAACTGTTAGTGCAGCTATCCAAGTCTCAAGACGACGAGATCGGCGATGGAACCACTGGTGTCGTTGGTAGATATCGATCTGAGAAATGCGTTCGTGTCATCTGTCCCTTATGAAGAGGAAAACCGAAAAAGTAGAGCCAATTTACGCTAATTTTTGAAACAACATTATTTTCCACAATATTCCAGTTCTTGCTGGCGCTCTCCTCGAACATGCAGAAACTCTGATAGCTAAAGGCATACATCCAATACGTGTTTCTGATGGATTTGAGAGAGCATGCAAAGTGGCCGTCGATCACCTGGATAAGATTTCCGATGTTGTTGAATTTACAAAGGATAATACCGAGAATCTATTCAAGACGGCAATGACGAGTTTAGGCAGTAAGATGTATGCAATCTGTTGACACGTCAATAATACCATTGCCATAATTGGAATCATTATTTATCAATAGTTATAACTAACACATATTTTTCAATTTTGGTTGTTGGGTTTGATAACAAACTCTTTATAGTGTATCAAAACATCATTCCCAATTTGCTCAAATAGCCGTGGATGCAGTTCTCTCAGTAGCAGACCTTGAACGCAAAGACGTTGATTTCGAACTAATAAAAGTTGACGGAAAAGTTGGTGGTTCGCTCGTTGACACCGCGCTGGTACAGGGCGTTGTTGTCGACAAGGACTTTTCTCATTCACAAATGCCGCGTGAAGTTCGTGACGCAAAAATTGCAATTTTAACATGTCCATTCGAACCACCTAAACCAAAGACAAAACACAAGTTGGACATCACGTCTGTCGACGAGTACAAAAAATTGCAGAGTTATGAGAGAGAGAAATTTGAAGAAATGATCAAGAAGGTTAAAGATACTGGTGCTAATCTAGTTATTTGTCAGTGGGGATTCGATGACGAGGCGAACCATTTGCTATTGCAAAACAAACTGCCGGCCGTACGGTGGGTCGGTGGACCAGAGATTGAGGTTGGTGATAATGATACTGATTCCTCAATATAGTAATAATCATATGCTTGCGCACATGTTGTTTTATCTGTGTTAGAACATTAACGGTATGTCCTCTTTTTAGCTCATTGCCATCGCTACAAAAGGTCGTATAGTGCCTCGATTCGAAGACCTTACACCAGAAAAGTTGGGCTTTGCTGGCATCGTTCGTGAAATTTCCTTTGGCACCACGAAAGATCGTATGCTTGTCATTGAAGAGTGTTCAAACACACGCGCCGTCACAGTGTTTGTTCGCGGTAGTAACAAGATGGTAATTATGTATACATATACATATCTGTGCCATTTATCCTGTTTACGCGTTTGATTCTGTTCAATTATACACAGATATTAATTTTGTTCAATCAATAGATTATCGATGAAGCCAAACGGGCTATCCACGATGCAATGTGCGTTGTCCGTAACTTGGTTCGTGACAATCGCGTTGTGTATGGAGGCGGAGCAGCAGAAATTAGCTGCTCTCTTGCTGTCTCAAAGGCAGCTGACGAGGTAACTGAAATATGGGAGGGGGGTTTTTTGTGGAATGCTTGCGTAGAGCACGAATAGCAACAAACAGTCTTACTATTTAGCAATAATGCTTACCATTATGATTATTTTCTAACAGATTTCATCGATCGAACAATATGCGATTCGCGCTTTTGCAAGTGCATTGGACGCGATACCGTTGGCACTTGCTGAGAACTCGGGCTTATCGTCCATAGAGACACTCTCAAATATCAAATCAAGACAAGTCACTGAGAACAATAGTCGGTTAGGAATTGATTGCATGATGACTGGTTCAAATGGTAAGTGATGTGAATTATCGACCAAACGTGGGGCAGATGCGTTTACGATACTATTTCCCAAGAATAACATGATTGTTCTTTTAATTTTAGATATGAAAGAACTGTTCGTATATGATCCATTAATTTCTAAACGACAGCAGTTCTTATTGGCTACTCAACTTGTAAAGATGATTCTAAAGATTGATGACGTACGTATGAAAAATCACGTCCTATTATAATAAGCAGTGCAAGAGATATAAATCTAATTCGCAACTTTATCAATATAGGTCATCATCACAGGAGCGTCTGATGAATAACAAAATTATTGGCAGAATTGAATAATAAAAATTGTCTGCGTTCAGTTGAAAGGAATTACGCAGTCATAATAGGAAGTTTAATGTTTCGAGCTATAATCATAATAAACTTGTATATCGCGTCGAAAGAGATAATAACACTTTGCCTTATTATCGGACGGTTTCGTTTGTTTTGAATACAAACTATGTTCTCCATGCTTTTTTTTGCTGTCTGCAATTCTATCCATAAGCCTAGCATGCTTCAACAATCTAATTCGTATTTGCTGAATGATTATAATTTGTTTTATGTATATGCAGATTACACTCACAGCATCGAATGTGGAAAAATCCTGGAAATGTTAAATTACAAGTATCGACATATTCTAAGATTTCATATCCGTGTTTCAAGTCTTCTCTCGATTGGATAATCCTCTGGCACTCGGAAGCCCGTTTGAAGGGGGGATTCTTTGAAACACTCATATTTAAGTGAGGATCCAGAAAATATAGCAAATGGAATTCATTTTCTTAAAGTCAATAGTAAACATATACAAGTTTCGTGTCAATAAGACCCACGTGGCTTATAAGATTCAGATGAGCACCCGTCTTCTTACAAAATAGCTGATCCCATATCTTTTATGTTCGTCAACGCCACAATATCGTTAAAAATTCGCTCGCAAATTTCGTCTCCTACCCTGCAATGAAACTCAATTAACATGTTAGTAGAGGCGTGTACAAAATTCCACTTCAATCAGGTATAACCGATTCATATTTACTCGTGATCAGATTTCTAGTCCATCCGCAGAGACTTTCGCGGGAAACATAGCTAATATAATCTGAACAAGTAAAAGAGCTCAACTCTTTTTTTTTGACTTGACCTCGAGTTTTATGCCAATGCTTTTACTGATTCCCCCAATTTACTGCAGTTAGATCACTATGGGTCCACTAAATCCCCTATAATAATATGTGCCGCATACGAAAATGAATTATCTCAAGCACAAAACTATTAACCACAATGGCGTGTGTTTACTTCACAACCAACTATACGATATTGGAAGCATTCAATAAAGAATGCAATTTACAAATGCTGGTAATGTTGCTGCTTTAAAGGTGTTTCATGGATATTTTAAATCTCTGCGCGCCTAATTTTTTTTTGAACAAAGTTTTTGCAAAAGATAAACTCTAACCTTTTATTAATATAAATGACTATTATTATTTGAGAATCACGTTTTTTAAAAACTAAATTGGCGTCAAACGGTTGCAAACCAATTATACATTTTAATTAGTTATTTCTCGCCATCGACAAAACCACTTACAATTTAATTTCGCGATTTTTAACTACTAGCGCGTTCTTAAAATAATGCCATGAAAATTACTCGGTCTTTTCTTTGCTGGCAATACCGAAGATCAGCGGTCATAAATGTCTAAATTCTCTTACGTCGGTCTGTACGTCAGGCTTAAGAAATGTAGTTTATTATTGTTGTTATTGTTATTGTTATTTTGTGTTGATCTACTAAATTTAATTGCAATGCCATCAAATTACATTTAATTGTACTCTTTTTATAATCGACAAAAAGCGCAGAATTCCAACCGTAGTGTTTGCAAACAAATGCACCAGCGAGCGAGCCTGTTTCATTCTTCAACACAATTGTGATTAACAAACTTCTATACAAAAAAAGGAACCGTAAAGTATCTATTTATTGTTGTAGAAGAACGAAATTGTAGTACAATTGCATGAAAATTAACTCCGAGTTTGCTTATTTAGCCAACTCCACCCGCGATAGCATGCCAAATATTAAAACTGAATACAATGACCAGAATAAAAGTAGCAGTTGACTGAGTTGGCAACTTATTTTAGTAGCAGAGCTTACTTGGACCCCACCCGAGCTAGCATGCCAAATAAATGGTAATTAATGGATATTCGTGCAAGATACATTTAAAATACGCAATATACAAAGACTTACCCTTTTTTAGAGACTGCGGTGGTGGCGGATGCGGCGGGTGCGGCGGATGTGGGTGTGAATGTGGATGCAGATGCGGGTGCGGGTGCGGATGTGGATGTTACTAGTGTGCTAAGTGTTGCGTTAGTATTAGTTGCAATGGGTGTGTTGATCGTGGCAGGTCCGTTAGACGTGGACTCGGGGGAGGTGATTGAGTCAGCAGATGCAGATGCAGATGCAGATGCAGGCGTAGCAGATGGAGCTGCCGATGGAACAAGTGAAGTCGCAAGCGTAGGTGTGACAAGTGGGGCAGGCGTAGCAGATAGAGGCGTAGTAGGTGAAGCTGATGGGGTTGATGCTGGCAAACTATCAGATTGACTGAATGTTGGGCCGTTGGTTGTTAAGCTACTGGCTGCTGGAGTTTGTGGCAGACCATTGGCTGGTTGGTTACTACTGCTGGGTTCTACACCAGATATTGCAGCTTTAGGTAGAGGTTGATTACCAGTTAGTTGTGATGGGCCGGGTACGCCGCTATAATAGGGCGTATAAATCGGCGCGGGGTTGAACGGACCACGTTGTGCATGCACGATTGCAAACAATGTGATGAGAAGAAGCAAGAAGAATATAAAGGATTTCATTTTGTTATTGGGTTGTGCAGTGAATCACAGGATTATAGCTATCACTTGTCTTCTCTTTGTCCGCTCGGCCTGTTTTTATATCTTTCCCACTCACCATCAAAATTTCATACACTATTACTCTTGCCAGAGTTATTCAAAATAATAACACTCCCATGCTTTAATGTACGCCAAGATAAGTCTTGTTGAGAAGGAGTAGGTGAATTACTTGGCCTGCAACTTGGAGGAATGAAAATAAAGAACGACAATTTCATAACAGGAGCAAGTACTACATACAAGTAAGATATTTCCGTTTGTCGGGCAAGATTGGTCAGATTAAAACCTCAAACCCCACTTCTACTCATTAACTGATCTTCAGGCAATTTACCGTTTTTATCTATTTATTATTTACTATACTTGAATTATTATAGTGCTAAATTTCCTTAACTTTCTTTTCTCCCAAACTACCAAATTAACTTAAAAGGTCGCATTTATTTTTAGAGTTTGGGTTTGTATTCGAGTGGAACCATGATCATGATCATATGGCAGGAATACTTACTTGTTTGCGAAGCATATGGTCAGATGTTTGGTGATCGAAATAGACGAAAAAGGAAACGGAGTAGATTTAATCAGGTTCCGTTGATATCGAGAGTAATGCCGAATACCATTTAAACGACATTTCGTCCGTTAACAGTAATTCTCCAAGCTGTCAACCATTCAAGTGTACCTTCACAGTTAATAGCACAAATAGGTATTACGAATAGTATCTGATGGTTAGGCGACAGACACTTAAGGCGTAGTAAATGCTATATTTGTAACAGATGACATCATCGTAATACTGAACAATAATTATTATTATAACAGTAATAGCAATAAGAGATCTACAATCATTATGCATCGTTGTAACAGTTGTAATAATAACACTTATTATTACATTATCATTATTACCATTATTATCATTTATACGAAACTCCTATGCTATGCAGATTCGAATATCAAAAAGAGACTAGCGCCACACACAACAAAAGGTAGCTTTAACGTTTATACATGTAGTTCTCTCATTTATTGCTGTATCTCTCTGAGCGCAGTGCTCTTCTTTTGACTCGAGAATCAAGAGAAATCAAATACTGTAAGATGAAGAAATAGAATAGAGAAATAACAGTCCATTCTATATATCATTACTAAAAATATAATACAAAAAGAAAAGGAAAAAGAAAAAAGGGAAAGGGGGGAGGTGAAAAAGAAGAATCAAATTATCCGTGATAACACTAAGAATATGAAAAGTACCAAAAATCTGATATATAATTAATATCGTCCTTCTACTCTACTCTAGCTGAAAATTTCGTCGTTGAGCCTGTATACAAAAAAGACCCAACCCTAAATAAAAAACTGTATTAAATGACAACTTTGCTAGCGACACACTGTTCGCTCCGCAGCTTGGCAGCGTTCTTCTCGAAACTTGCTTGCTTACAACTAGTCAGATTGACGCAAGCATGTGCCTCAGGCAGTCTATGTCTACCACAAAAGTCCAAATTACAATATCGGCAATGGCCGACAATCTTGGTAACCTTATCCTTACACTCTCCAAACTTACACTTGGTCACCTTCCCACCACCACGCAAACGCAAGACCAAATGTAGCGTAGACTCCTTCTGAATATTATAATCCGCCAAAGTACGTCCGTCCTCCAACTGTTTGCCGGCGAAAATCAGTCTCTGCTGGTCGGGAGGAATACCCTCTTTATCTTGGATTTTCTGCTTGACGTTGTCAATAGTATCGGAACTCTCCACTTCGAGAGTGATGGTTTTACCAGTCAGCGTTTTCACAAAGATTTGCATACCGCCTCGCAGACGAAGTACAAGGTGAAGCGTAGACTCTTTTTGAATGTTGTAGTCGGAAAGGGTGCGGCCATCTTCGAGCTGTTTGCCAGCAAAGATTAAGCGCTGCTGGTCTGGTGGAATACCTTCTTTGTCTTGTATTTTTTGTTTTACGTTGTCGATGGTGTCGGAAGATTCGACTTCGAGAGTAATAGTTTTACCGGTAAGAGTCTTGACAAAGATTTGCATTATGGCGGTATAGTCTAAGAGGTGTGAGTCAGAGGTATGAGTCGGAGGACAGAAGGAGATGTTAAAAATTATGTTCGGTTATTGAACAGTTTTATTATTACTGTTTGAAGAAGGGAAAAAGTGGATGTATTTATATATAAGGGGAAGTAGGGGGCGAATGGAAAACGTTAGAGGTAAGTATTAATTTATAATAAACATGTAACACGATGTATTGGTTAATATTAATATACAATTGTTAATATATATATGAACTGCATACAATATAATAACAATAATATAAATTGCTATTTATATGTTGTATAAATAAAAAATACATCAATTGTCCCCCTCTTACAATCAATTCAAGCCGCCCACTCACATCCACTTGAGAATCCGCTGATCATCTTAGTCATGCATACTTAGCTCTCCATTCAGCCTGATTCCTTCTCCGCCCGAATTGAGCTTTTTGGTAATCAACAAGGATTCTCATTGGTCCTAAACCTCAGGAGATGACGCGTCATCTACTTATTTTGGTATACAAAACGTCATCCATGTGTGCAAACGACAAAGATCGGCTGATTTCTCTGCTTCCCCCCAGCTTTATAACGTAAGATGTTTGGAGAACGGTATTTAATCATATGACAGTTTTACAATATATCTTCTGTGTAGATTATTACGCACACTCTTCTTTCTTTCGAACATGCTAGTCAGTCTAAAGAGTTCATTATACAATGGATACTTGTCACATCCTTTGTTTCGTTGTTCTCTTTTCGATTGGTCCACATTGTCATGGAAGATTTTTAGCTCTTTATGGGAAATGGGGAAATAAAGAAGTTTTGTGCACATTTATTGACAATGAACAAGTATTTTTAAAAGTCGGGATTAATTGCCAGAGTTTTTAATTGTACCTGCAAACATGCTCTGCTCTCTTCCGTACATGTACAGCAAGGTCTGCCGCACATAATGCTAACCCACAACCCCTTCAAACACACTCGGCAGTAGTGTATGTGGCGCATTATGTATGCAAAAAGCGGACGATAGTCGATTGCGTAATATGACTTACGTACACCTCACTTTAATTCGTTTACGTTGGGGATAAACATGTACTTGCTTTGGTTTCATGTGCGACAAACAAGATTAACAATAAGAGTTAGAATGAAAAAGTGTCTGCTTTTTTGTTTTTCCATGAATTGGGGGTTGTAAAGCGACCTACCTGAAAACGGCTATGGTCGAATTTTGAAGCATTTAATGGGCGTATATATATACCAATCACGTTAAAGAAGACAAGAATGGTAGCTGGATTGATATTCATAGGTTTTTTGCGTGACTGGGATTGGTGATCTACAGTGTCATACGATGACAGCTCCAAATAATGCCTCGAAATAACGAAATAAATTATTCACCAAAAGAACATAAAAGGTAAAATGAGTTTTTTAAATTTAACGGTTTATATCCATACCATATGTTCCTATAATCGTTATCTATCATTACATTGTCATTACATCTGGAATCTACTATTGTTAATTTATTTTCCGATACAGACAAAGAGCACATCTTTGTCAAGTATGAAACTTGGCGGATTCGAAAAATGCTCTAATCTCAATATACAAAACAACACTCTTTTGTATTTTCTCAACACTGTTACTATTGTTCGTCGCAAACATCATGCCTAATTGTCCATCAACAGTACGAGAAATGTCTAATCCGATTGAAGGGATGTTTGCAATCTCGGTAGAAAGTATATATACATGTTGATCACGGTGATTGGTCAAATATTATGCGATACCGATGCATAAATTTGAAACAATGATAATAATAATATAAGATTTTGCATTGTTGGGTATAAATAATGACCGATACGCCATAAAGACCTAAAAACAATCGAGGTTCACGATAACAATAAATATACTGGGCCTCTATTATTAAAATGCGAAATGTTACAACCGCCCGCTCTAACCCAATTTGTCAAAAGGTTTGGTTGTGTTGTTTTTTGTTCTTACTAAGCCGAGTAGTTTGAATAAACGCAGTTCTTGGTTTTATGGTTTGCGTTTACAAATTCGCTACACTGTCTAAATGTCCCGTATCAATATTGTTTGCTTTGTTTGTACAAGACCCACTTTCTTGATAATTTATCCGCGCTAAACAATATTTTTGAGATTATTCTGTGTAACGGCCGCGCTGTGACAAAACCAGACACGGCAAACAAATATTTAGGAGTTTAAACATGGTTGACCATTATTTTACTCTATGTAAGTCCTAAATTGCTTGTTATAGTTGGCTTTAAAGTTAGGCTTTTGATCTAAACTAGCATGCTTGTTGACATTCTTGAGCAAGCTTTGAAACCCTTCATTTTTAAATAATTAGCATCAATTTTAAGGTGCAATTATTGGAATCTCCGAATGTTTCAAGTAGCCTTTAATCACGAAGGATGAAAAAAGGTTACTTTCCTTGATTAGCAAAGAATGTCAAAGTCAGGCTGATTTATTATATTCAATGAAATCTCGTTGATGCGTATTTATTTGCACATAAATATTTGAGCATTTTTCTTTTGCTTTCTCTTATACATCACCTGGGACACAATTAAATATAAACTCATTACTACATAATACTGTATACTGTGGCTACACCTTATTAACCCTCACCTCCCAGCACAACTACTTCAACTATTAAGCTTCTTACAATCTGTAACCATTGTCACATTATTGAACTCCTTTACTGCCAGGGCCTTTGCACACAATACAAACCCAACTAATTCCTGAAATCATCAACAACCCCTTGGATATCTTTTCTTTTTCTAATAATGATCACACTTTTACTATTATCCTACTACTACTAGTGTCCGTAAAATAATATCCCTAGAAACAAAATATAATAATAATGCATCTTACCAGTAACACCCGGCTTGGGAATTTGTTCTCTCTCTGCATGTATTTTTAAATAAATAAACAGATTAGACTGTTGCTCTAGCAAGGACCTCACTGTGAATAAAGATTTCTCATAATAGTTCACATCATAGTAATTAAAATCGATTCAATAGATTAAGTTCGAGTCAGTCTCATTATTACTTGATCGTACATTTAGTATTGTATTTCATCATCAATGACTCGTACCACCACAGTCATTAAATAGTAAATAATTTACATGTTTTATTATTATCTCACATCTACTTTTTATTGATTTGATACAGTTAATTAGAATGCTATCTGAGCTTCGATTTTATTCTTCTGCCATGTACTGCTTGTTCTAACTCTCTATCACTCGCTCAACCAGACGCATCTTCCCATCAAACTTACGAACAAAGAAATGGCGACCATCGAAGAACTGAAGTACGCGGAGAAAGAGTTAGAGGACGGCTGCGTTGGAGGCGTTCAAAAAAGGCGATACCACAAAACCATCTGATCAAAATCACCGTTTATTGAGGGAGCGAAACACCACATAATGTATCTCTCGTTAGATGTATTTAGCATAATTACTTATGCTTATAGATTTTTAGGTCGATACTATTTTTTTTATTAATTGTCAGCGATGAATAGCTTCTATTATTCTAACAGCTTGTTACGTGTTAATTAGTCTTTATGAAGTGTGTTGTTTATTTTAAGCCATTAAAGTGAATATGGGCATTGCCGAATATATTAATATACAGTAAAAAGAGATCGATAATCAACGATAATATTCATAATACAGCACTAAGTTGTATAAAAAAACCGAACAGCTTGAGTAGTATGTATGAAATTATGGTCGGTTTAATCTGGTACTTTACCCACTATATTGCCATATTTGCGCCAAGTTTAGTTGAAACTTGTAATAAAGTGAATAATTCTGGTTTGACTTTTTTTACTCTTTCCACAGTTGGGACACCAAGATTATGTTCTATCATAGAGGTGTTCTCTTATAGAATTTGTACTCATGAGTATGTAACTACGTTTATTAATGTTATTCAATAAATTAAATGCTAGTCTTACTAGCAAAATTCTTTGTGGAAGGCATTCTTGACTATATAGCTTCCTTTTTTTTTATAATTTAGCGGGCCTGACGAATTATGAAAAGTAACGGGGTCTGGATTCCGGTGCTTTTCTAGTTAAATGATTTCTAAAAAGGTTAATGCTCGTGCCAGCTAATCAACATGACACGTGTGTTCTACAAAATTATGTTCTTGTCCTTTATAATTTTTATATAAACGTAAAGGGAAGAAGTTCGAACAGACAGAAAGTAAGTATCGTATGATTTATGGGAAAAAAATTGAAGTACTGGCGATCAAATGATTGGCTAATGTCACGTTCACAGCAGCGGAATAAATCAAATTGGATGTTAGATATAATGATAATTCGCATTTTTAAGAATATTTGTATTTTCTGACCCTAACTATGCAAAAAAAAAACAACGAAAGATAGTCAACCCTCCATAAGTGCACATGAGTTGGAGTGTGCATTTTATTGGTTAACGCGACTCGATAAAAGTATTAGCGTATTTATGATGCTCAATATTATTTTAAGCTACTGTAATGTTCAAGCATTCTCACATGTTTTAGCAATCTTTTAGAGTCTTTCTGCAGAATGAACGAACAGCATCGTTGATATTAACTGATAAACTGATACATCGTCATAACAATTTGAACAATGTAATAAATACTTCACAATGATCAGGAAATTCTTTAAGACAAAGATTTGGGCTGGGCTTAACGATCAAGATTCATTTGGCCTGATAGAAATCGAACAACGTTTATTCACTGACACAAACAATACAATATCACAATAAAATCACATGGCATGCATTTAGGGAAATGGGGAAATGAAAAAAAAAAAACGTGCGAGGGATTGTATTTTTGGAAGAATAATTACTAATTATTATTTCCTTTACTGACTTAGATGTAAGCCGGTGAATATTGAGTTATTGACTTATGAGCAGAGGATTGAAGGAAGTTTTTAAAAAACATCGCTGATGAGTTATGATGTGGAGGAGTTGAGAGTGGAAGAAATGGAAAACATACTTCTTAACGGAGAAAGTTCGACAAAAAAACTTTCTAATTCCAAAAAAAAAAAAAAATAGTCAAAGTCTAAATTTCAGAGTAGACACGAACCTGATTACTTAATTCTAAAAAAAGAAACTAAAAACCTTCTACATAACCAAATTAATCAGCCGGCATGTAGAGGGTCTATTTATGAAGAGTTGACTTTATAACAGTGCAAAAGACAAAGAACCGACAGCCTATGACAACATACTAAAAGCGCATTACAATAACTTCTTTGAGTTGCACTATGACTAAAGAACACTAACATTGCATCTAGTACTAGACCTTTGTTGATTTATAATTTTCTTTCGCTAAAAGGCGCCGAAAAAAATGGTTCGTGGTCAAGTCGTGAAAATCTGTAGACGTGACGTTTCCTGTGACTGGTCTTTATTATTATTAGCTTTTTCCCTAAAATTATTTTATCATGTTTGTTGCAGCACTACACCATTAACATATCTTCTAGATTTTATCACGTAGCTTTCTAATCTTTGCTTTCTTGGGTGGGGTTGGTGTGATTAATTCACTCAATTTTTGTTTCGTTAGGTCTATCACCTTTTTTTTTCTGGTACTTGTTCCGCTTCAGAGATTGAGCAGTGCCAATAAGCAGATTCCGTGTCTGCCAACATACTGCCATTGCATGCTGCAAGCAGTGAATGTCATGAAAGTTAGCAGGAATATCAAATTGACCATAGGGCTTAATAACATATTTTCGGTTGCAAAGTTCCATTACAAAAACCTTTACAGTAAAGCCTAAAAAATAACAAACTTAATGGTAAGCAATGGAGAGTATCAAACAACATGACAGCACTTACCACTGGAATGCATGCCAACAATTTTTAGTTCATTTGGACGTATGTCTCCTCGTCCTGCACGTGTCTCCTTTTTTATAATGTAGTTGAGACAATCTTTTAGTTCTCGTCTCAATTTAAACAGATCATTGGCATCCTTTGTTAGATCCTTCTTGAGTGGACTATATGAAACCTCTAGAATGCCAATTTCATATGCATTGTTATTATTTATGCGAATGACTCCATCTGCATTATGTCCAATTTCATTGACTTCTATTAACAAGTCTTTTCCTTCATTTTTTCGTTCTGCTGTGCTCTGAACATCTACTTCACCCCTGGTTAGAATGAGTTATCTTAATACTATTAATAATAAGAAAAAAGGCAAGATATATTTACATACCACGTACAGTCTAAGAGATTGATACTCCGGATTGCACCTCCAATAACTGGCTCAATAAAATTACAACTATACATATGCTCTGACAAGTTCCGATTTTGTAAAAGCCGACACCCCAACTCAAACTCTGTTAAACTATACACAACAATAAATCACGGAATTAATATATTAAGACAAAAGCAAAGAAATGAACAGTGCTTACTATGCGTTTATAACATCAACAGCATATTTCCAACGTGGATGGTTCACATCATCTGGAGGCATTACAGCTAGTTTGCCAACAAGTCTATACCATTCTTTACGAGCACACTGTACATCAGATGCCTTTATGTTTGAGGGTATGATAATCAGTTAGCATCCCGACATATACCACCAAAAATAATCCACTTACATTGAAAATTGAATTGAATTCTTTTAAATCAAATTCAAAGTCATCATGACTTTCTAAGATCTCTGTTAAGTCCACTATGTTGTCAGGGTCAATTCTGAAAAGATATAATAATCATAGTCAGAAATATTGTTAAATGAATATAAAGTAAGCACATGTGAAATAAGAAAGGCGTTTACTTATGAAAATTGTCAGCATCCAATGATTCATGAGAATTTGTTGTAACGACATCCTTGTATCTAGTTTTGCTCTAACACAATAACAGATTTACATTAAGCTCATTCTGGTGATAATCAACAGTCTTAGGAGCAAGCTTACAAGCTTTTGTCTCTTATTACATGTATTTTCTCCGCCAGTGAACCGTTGCTCCATGGTCATGGTGATTTTCTCTGTTAAGATATGCTGTTGTTGCACTCTATCGACAATAGCCATCTCTAAAACACCAGCAGTATATTGTACCTGTATAAATACTAAATAAGTCCAAGTATAACAGCCATACATAGTAATTCACTGTTCACTGACCCTTTGCCAGAAGATCTTCACACCGAGAGATTGTCTTTCATCCTAGTAGCCAGAATACAGATAAGTGTCAGTAAAGATCATATTGAGAATAACCAAGAGCTACTATGTGATTGCATAACGAAGGTACAACTAGTTGGGGCGTAGCCATCCAGAAGTGTTATGAACCATGGCGCATCTTGACATCCAAAGGGAGGAGTTCACCAGCCAAGGCGCAGTCAGCTGGCTATTTGGATGCCAACATAGTAACTCTTAAGAATATAATTGCGATATAATGTCAATTACTGTGCCTGGAAATTAGATATACAGACTGCTGCTTGCTCACGGCATCTTCCAGATTCTGTAGTCGAAATAACATATTCAAGATCTTTAAGATAATTTCGATGTTCGACTGCTTTGTCCATCGAAAAGTCTTCAGCCTTCTCTCGATACTTCAAGTAACCTAACAAACTCCACTTCACATTCTCGCCAAAGTAAGCCGATGGAATTGACATCCTGTTTTTACAGAGATAGAACAGTAATGGTAATGGTAAGGAGTAAAGTTATCAACTTGTGCACGCGACGCGTATACTAAATTTGGTCCGATGAAAATGTCAGTCACCTGAACTGCAGATCAAATCACGACCTTAATATTAATATTAACGTTAATTTTATTAGACAGTAATCCGTTATACGTGATCGTTAATTCACGCATCCAGACGTTGGCTTGCATAAACTCGTTAAAAGGGAGCACTATAATCATTTAGTTGATAATATTTATCTCAATGTAAAGTCTGACAAATTCTCAAAAAAGCGACGGTGCTTCTCAGAATGGATAACTTAATATATTTACGCTCTCTAAATATATTGTAATAGCGTTTCTATTATTATCATTTACACTATGCATTGTAAGTAGCACGAATAAACTAAAATGTACTTTGGCTAACGCCAAGGATGTAGTAATAAACGATTTTTAGTGCCCATGAAGCCGAGCAAATACTTTACGTTGGGAATTTGAATTTGAATTGTTTTTGTAACCATATTTTACATCCAATATTTTTCGTATATATACCGTATTTTATTTGTAATTCGTAATATGAAAAACATGTCATTAAGAAATGCCAAGTCATAAGAATTATATATGGGATTACCCGTATATGAAAAATAGTAAATATAGTGGTTCAAGCGAATATAAAAAAGTAATACGTTTCTTGGAGTTAGGTTGCAATTGTGGTTGCTCAAAAATGATTCCCAGAGAAAATTTTGCCGAATTACGTAAGGCGTTTCAAGCTCTTTCTAGGTCTGAGCAAGACTTTTTTTAATGGCCCAGTTGAAAGCAATGAATGATGGAGAAATAACCGCCAGTCGACGTCTTAAAAGAAAGCGCATATTAATAAAAGAACTTTTTATTATTGAGATCGAAACACGTCATTTTGTCAGAAAACGTGTCTCAATATGTTAGGAATTGGTCGCATTCACTTCGAAATCACCTAGCGACGAATGGTATAATGCCGCGCGTTCATGGTAATGTAAAAAAGTGCCACGATGGAAAACCAAAATAACCGTTGATCGCCGTGAAAAATTTTCTCGAGAATTATGCTGAAATTCATGGACTACCAAGTTCTGGTAGAAACGTCAACTGAATTACTCAATCGTTTACACTATTGCCAGCCGAAACAAATGTAATTTTACATAATCATATGATATTCGTATCTAAATTTACTACACTGTATAGTTGTATTTTCGTAGTTCTTATGGCATACTGCTTTAGCATGAGAAGAACAATGAAGAGTAAAGGTATTAGACTATAAAAGCACCTGGACGTAGTATAAGCATATAAAATTCGCCGCAAAGATTAATCACGGTAACACATTTGGATGTTAGTGCGAAGGAATAGGCATCAGGAAAAAATCAAATAAGTGAAAAAGATAGGATGTGCCATGTAACACAAGCGTTGAGAACGAGATTTGTTCACTTGAAAAAAAAAAATTTTTAATTGAAACGATGTCGTTAGCATTAGGTACTGTTAACAATTCAGCAATTGATAACTTTGTTCAATCCTCCTTGGAAAGTGAAGATGAAGACTTAAGACTTGAATGGATTCCTTGCTCGGAATTTACCGACAAAGAGCCAACTCAAATTGACAACGTCTATTATGCTAGTCGCAAGCAAACGTTGCATAATGGTGAAGTGAAGGAAACGACGATAATGCTGCTATCGCTTGGAAGCAGCGGAGAATGTACACAAACACTTGTTAGTGAGTTTGCTAGAATATACTCACTTCCGACACACAAGTACAACAGTGATGTCAGTCAATATAGACGATATTCCAAATGGCTTACTCGTCGCAACTATCTCATAATGGGTTTTACCGAGTATGACGATAAATATTATATGGTTGCTGATGAACGCTTTTACTATTGTTATTCTCTCTATGGCTTCTGCACTGCATGTGGAATACTCCGATGTAGTCCCGTGTGGTGCATTTGTGGACATAAACAATTATCCGATGGATGGAC